AGTGTGCCCAAAATCGTCGACTTTGTTCAGTTTCTCGAAAGTTTTCTTTTGAATTTCATACACAAAGATAATTAATATTATTATCACATAATATGGGACTATTGTATCATTATCATGACACTATAGAAGACGTGATTCTTGGACACTAATTTCATAAAAAAGTGGTAAAATAATATATTCCTAAGTGAGAAAATTCCGATAATCATATCAAGTATAAACCTTCTATTGATCTCCGCTATTTCAAGTTCGTAAAATGTTTTTATCTAGCTGTGTCAATTTTTCTTCTCCTTCTTTTTGGCTTTAGCAAGGAGCTTTCTTTTTGGCGGCAATTTAAATTTATTTATATTAAACTATTAAATTTTAAAAAAATTAAAGATACTATTAAATGTTTTTAATCTATTACAATTTTAAAGAAATATCAGATAAAAAATAACTCAAATCTCAATATTTAAATTACAGATAAAATTCATAACAAAATTATAATAAAGAGTAGTATGTGTTTTTGTTTAGTAGTATTGAAATCTGACAGTTATTTTTTGTTAATAACTAATAATCGGATAAAATTTATAGTTAAAATAATTGCAAACAATATAATATCTATATGAAATTAAGTAGGAATCATCCTCGCCTGGAGTCTACTACTGAAAAAGACGTCTAACCATTATTTTCTAATCAGAATCTTGTATTGTTTTTAATACAAATAATCTTTTGTGAATTGCTCATATTGCTCATTGATTTTGGAACTGAAAACATAGACTTTACACTGCCTTGTTGTGTAAGGTCTTTTACTGAAAATCATTATCTACCAATGTTTTAGTTATATCTAGTTAGCAATTTTAACAAAAGAACTCTCTACAAAAATTATATCGTGAACCACTAATCTAGTGTCTATATTTTTACATAAATAAATATTTTATTTTACAAATTTACATCAAATTTATTATATTCTTATTTAATAAAGTAGACCAAAGATCCCTGAAAATGTTTCCGGTAATGAAAAATGCATATCTACAACATGTCATGACGGTTCCACCACGTCTAATAAATCGGATGGTCAATGAAGGTATAGCTACTTCAAAAATTTTCATGTTCTAATAATGGCGTTACTCTGACTTTCTTGTCTATTTTAAAAATTTCTAAATAACGTACAAAACTTAACTAGTGGTGCATGGCATTGTGCCTCAAGGCAAATTGCAGTAACTTCCCGTACCGTAATTTTAAAATCTTATAAGATCTCAGAAAAGAAATATTGGATTGTTTTTTGAGAATTTTAAATTTTTCTAAACATAACACAAATTTGAATATATAAAAAAATTACTTTTTTTTGAAAACTCAGAATTTTTTGAAAACATCATTTTTTTTGGAAAACCAACATTTTTTATTGCTTTTTTTCTATAATTTCAACATTTCTTGAAAATTTTGATAGCCATTCATATCGGTTTGATTCAAATTACAATATATCTGATTTTCGACCGCCAAATGGCTTTTTTTAATTTCTTTTTTTGAATCTCCGAACCACTGGACTGCCCTTGCATAAACTTAATCAATTCTTCATTACGTCAATAGAAGTGGAACGTTTTTTGAATCATTCAAATCGGATGCTCCGTTCTCTCGAATTATGCACTCCTATTTTCTGCACTCTTGCATCGCATCTATAAAACGGCTGAACCAACTTTTGACAAAAACTAATCAGCACGTCTCCCTATCAATAGGAATCGAAAACTTTTTAAATCATTCAAATCGGCTGAGCGGAACTCCTGGAAACACCGACAAAAAATTGCATAATGCATAAACTACATACACACATCCATTTTTTCGAAAGCATGTCAAAATGTTCACAAATCTCTGAAACGTAAAGATATGCAAAAATTCATTTTCGATTTTTGGACGATTACAATAACTTACTCTAGGGGAAGTTAATAAAAATCAAGAGTTGAAATAATTTGATAAGATGAAATATCCCAAAATCCCAAATCTAATTACAACATGTTAAAGGTTCCACATTAAAACTCGCTACCTCATTTTTTAATAATGAACTGGGTATTATACAACAAACTGCCATTAAGTATCAGAAAATTAGAAAATAAGAAATTTTAAAAATTATTTAACTTTTTTTAAGGAACTTGTTATTTACACTATTGAGGGATATATACGTTAGGACGAAATAGAGTAATAGTATTGATCGTAAATGTCATGAAAAAAATTACAAATAAAAATTCCATAAAGTTATCGAACTGCATACATTTTTCATAATCAATACTTTTATCTTCGTTTCGGGTTGACGTTGAGGTATGGGACACGCTGTGTATATACTTAAATTAGAATTTATTAAATAGTGATTAACGTTATATTTATCTACTCACCCTTTATCGCGTTGTTTTAGACATTTTCATATTAGTTTTCAATGTTTCAAGATTTTGAATTTCTCTTAGCCATGCAAGTAGAATCTTTCGGCGAAGATTTGGAACCACCGTTCTTAGCCAAACCTTGTCCGACACCTTATAAATTTGCACCTGAAACTGATTGCACAAGAGCACCGCAAGCATTTCTACATTGGGCTATACCAAAACTGGTCAGTGTCTATTTACCTGTAATATCTGCATAAAAAGCGAAGCCAATTGAAATACTTCCTACTAAATATTTTTAATTTTCATTTAGGTACACCAAATGCTTAGTCGATCATTTTTTTCAAAATAAAAGTTATTTTTTTGCTTTAATTCAGATTCACAAATTTAGTATTATCTTTACATAATATGAAGGAAGAAATTAAATTAAATTATGTATTGGTAACTTAAATAGGAAATATAAAATAACTCCTCCTTAATCATATTTCCAGAGACACAATTTGATATAACAATAAAACAAAATTATTGCATTAAAATTTAATCCATTGAAATAAATAAAATCCATTCAAAATAATTCAATAATAATTCGCTTTGATGCACCCGCTTTTCTGTTATGACCAGTTTCATAGGTCTACCGTTTCTTCAGAATTATCAGTTAGAGTGATAATAAATATGTTACGAATATTTAGTAAGATAGATTAGATTTAGTTTATTAGTTGATTTAGTTAGATCATGGATCAATTTTCAAAAGTTAAGAACCGTTGGCCAAAATTCGGTCAACGCGATCGCTAAAATTCCTTGCCTTTGATATAATTATTTCAAAACGGATTCGACAAAAGTTACTTAAATTATGATGCATCAAAAGATTTTTGTATTTACCTATCAAACAAGTCTTTTCGAGTTTTTTCGAACAAGAAATAGTATAATGTTAAAAGTTGGATGAAGCAAAACTGCATTATCATCATATAAATTTATCAATAGCAAAATATGATAACGTATGCAATTCTTAAGATTGATTAAAAAGCAATCGTTTGGGATTGATGGACAATTAGAATTTTGCACATTTATTTATTTAGTTTGCAAACTGTCTATTGAAATATAGTACATTATTCAAAAATATAAAGATCAAACGCGCGAGAAATATATTTTAACAACGCTCATTTTATTTAAGATAAGAAATCTCCATAGCAAGGATTGTACCACGCAAAGAAAAACTTTAGCTACTCTCTCCGATTTACTAAGAAATCCCGAAAAGGCATTCGAGGCATTTAGGCTTGATATAGTTCCCAGGTACATCATAAAATAGTATTCGATTTTATTTATGTTACCACAGCTCATAGAATTTTATTCAACAGATTTACTGATCTTTTGACTCACCAGGATTCGTATGTCCGGGAACGCGCATTGTTTGTTCTGGGTAATGTATAAAATTAATTTTTCAGGTGATAATAACTATAATATATATTTAGATTTTGAATTTGGAATAATTTCACGATAATGCTTACTCGTACTCTTACT